GCCGCGCGCCTTGCGCCGGTCGTGGATGACCTTGGGCTTGGCCAGCGCCATCTGGTGGAAGATGTACCACATCGCCAGCAGCGTGACGAGGAACGTGCCCGCCAACACCGAGTCGGAGATGATCTTGCTCTTGGTGGTGGTCGTCCCCGCGTCGGACGACTCGAGGATAACGCCGAGGTACACGGTGACGAACTGCTTGGGCAGGGAGAGGATCGCGGCGATGGAAAAGACGAAGATGTTCATGCCGCAGGTGGAGAAGACCGCGGTCGTGACTGGCCCCACATTAGCTTTATTAACATAAGTAAGCAGAGGAGACCCACAATGCCCCGGGATCGCACTGAAACGCGCAATGAGCGCGATCTTGAATCCGCCGTCACGGACACAGCGCGCGAGGCACGCGTACGGGATCTGCGTGCGCTCCATCTTCTCGCCGCGCGCGCGGCAGCACCACTTGAACGCGTAGAAGTTGCCGACCTCGCCGATGAACGTGCCCGCGCACACGATCGCGAAGCCGATCCAGAGGCCCCAGACGAGACCTGCAACGGATTGTGAGCAGCTTTCCCTCTTACATTTTTCATTTTTCGCTAAACTCACCGCACAGAATAGCTACGATTTCGTGCCCGAAGAGCTGCAGGTTGTCTCAGCGAAACGCAGCCGTCAATCAAAAAGGACACTCACCGGTGGGAAGGAGATGACGAAGAGGATGCCGATGGGGACGAGGTAGCCGTATTTCAAGCTGGAGAAAGATGAGTAAACGTGAAGGAGGAAGCAGACAAGCAAGAAATAGAGAAAACAGCAAGGAGACGAAATAAAGAAACAAAGTCCATCTCCCGACGAGGGGCCAGCCAACAAAGGCCGACCGCACGCATTCGCCGTTGCGGTCGAGTCGTCGGTCTCGTTCAAAATGAACTCGGTTCCACTTCCCCATGCGCGGCTCCAAGATGAGAGAAGAGCCATAGAACCGGCCACGAGCCCGCATCCGCGCAAGCGGAAAGCGGGCCAGAAGAAGAAAGCAAAGAAGAGCGGGCCCTAAGCCAGAACTCAAAGGATACGTTGCTGCAGGCGTGCTCGGAGCCAAGCCCTGTCTTGGGTGTGGCGTAAAGCTGTAATTGCGCCCCCCCCATCGCCCTACACCAAAGTCGACAAAGGGGAGCCCCCTTCTGCGTTGTCGCAAGCGTGGGCCGACCGAACGCACCCTGTCCCCATTGTGGCGTCGAGAAGGCCAACAAGATGGGAACAAGGGACGAGGCGAACTCCCACACCAACCGCGTCCCCGCACCAAAGCGACAAAAGACAGACGCGCACAGAGCCCTTCTGCGGAATCCTAGGTCCCCACACAGCGTGAATCCGGGCCAACCGCGCATGCCATTTGTTGTGGGGTCGTGGCTGGAACTGCGCACACCCCGAGTGAACGCCTGTCGCATCACTCGCACTCGGTCGGCCTCCTGCGTGCCGACTCCGACCAAACACCCTCCGCACCGACATCGCTCTCGACAGGCCAAGCACGCATGCAAGCGCCGAGTGAAGCCCCCGAGGAGATTGTGCTTGACGTTTCCTCGCTTTGCGGACGTCGCATCAAAGGGCGCGGCGATTGGCTTGGCATCGCGATTTGCATTCCGCAGATGCACACGCCGGTGCCTGCGCAAGGAGGATCGGCCGGTGGGCGATGGCGCATGCGGAGCGCATCCCCGCACCACATGTGCACGTCCGCATCGTCTCCGTGATAAGAAGCCCGCGAAGGGTCGCCATAAGAACGCAGAGAAGGGTTCACATTCGCGTAACCGCACGAAAGACAGGCAATAAACGGCCTCCACGTCCTCCCAAGGAGTGGCAAACGAAGGGGACAATTCAAAGGAGGGGCAAAGAAGACAATGGACTCACTCGTGCAGCCATTTAGTCACAGGTGTCAACGCCTCGACGATTTGGTGGTGGTAGATGCTAATGAGCGCGGTGACGACCATAATAACGGTGACAATAATGTAGTATTCTGCGCAATAGCGTGAGCACCGAAACGAAAGACACGAGCAGGCACGCACTGGTCCACTCCTTGCGGATCCAAAAGCGCCAGTTGGAAAGCTGTTTCCAGCTAAAGAGGCCCTCGCTGAGGGCGGCTGCTTCGCTGGGGGTGGGGCTGGGTGTGCGGGAGATGTTCCGGGCATCGTCGTGGTTCTTTGCGACCGAATTGAAGGAAGAGACGGAAGAGGGATTGAAGGGGCCATTAGGGGGATAGGCGTTAAAGGTACCAGCGGTCGAGGGCCGGTATGCGGGATAGGGCATGGCCATGGTTTGGAGGGTATCGCTGGTGGGTATAGAAGAAGAGAAGAATGGATGGCAACCACCGCCAAGACACTGCAACGCACCGCGTTCACGCTTTCTCACGCTTCACTCCACTCCCAACAAACCAAATATTCATTCCTCTGTCTTGCTCTTTCACAGTTGTTTGAAGAGCTGCTATTCTCTTGAAGCTTGTAGCCTTGAAGGGACTCCCTTCATGGATCGGCGCTCGATCCAGTGACGTAAATGTGCCACTTCTTGGCTTCCTTTCTACTTTTGCCTTTGTTCACCGGCGCGCCGTTTTTCAACGGCGTCAACGGCGTCTATACACTGTTCTATGAGGATACAGGACCAGGCAAATTGATAATGCTTTCTTTCTTCTCTTGGCCCGATTCTTGGCCCGATTCTTGGCTACACTGCCCTGGACCGCTCCTGGATACGGCGGTCTCCGCGGTCGTCAACCCGATCCGTACAAGTACGGGTTATCACCAGCGACGTCGGCCTCCTCGGTTCTACTTAACACCGCCCTCCGAAACCGCCATCCGACCCGCAGCGAACAAGCATTTAAACGATGCACATCCAAATTCAATCTAGTGGCTTGATCAATCCTCCCGAACTGTCGATTCGTCATTCAATCGCATATAGTGGGCAGAATGGAGCGGGAAGATGCGGTGTTCGATGCCATGAAACTCACAACTAAAAGCGCGGACACCGCATCGCTGGCACACGACCCCGGCGCCTTCGCTTCTATTCCCGTGAACTCAAATTTCTACGAACATACTCAAAGTTACAGTGAAAAAATATACACAGGGCACCCGTGTTGGCGCACGAAGCACATAAGTACTACGACGGCAGACGACGACTGGGAGCGGGGCCGGCATTTATGCATTCCAGTCGTCGGTGAACTTGCCGTCATGCCCGACTCACCCGCCGGTTCGTTCGGACTGTGATAAGACACTCCATAGGAAACGCCCCACTCCGTCAAACATATCGCAAGCCCCATGTGTTTCGGAAAATCTAACCCTGGCCGACTCCAGGAAAAAGCTATCCTGTTTTCTGTAAAAGCTCAGAGTTGCAGAATCGCCTATTCGTTATCAAAAATGCGCTGGATGGTCTACTCGCCCACGGCCCAGCCCCGAGTCGAACGGGGTAACTCTGCTTGACTCGCATAGGAATCCCGGCATTCTGCGCAGAGACGCTCCACGCGCTACCAAGCCTTTCTGCTCAACAACTCGGTACGTTCCTTATCCTCGTTGGTTTTTGAGGTTTAAACTTGAAGCCGCAAACGCAGCCGAGGCCAGTGTGCCGTTGAAGCCTCGAGGAACCTGAATATCCGCTCTGGTGAATTCGCTCTGTTGGGCATGCATATGATTCTGCAATGATTCTGACACTTGTTTTTCGTCGTCAAGAAAGTAAAGGGGCAAAACATGTTTCCCAACCCCGCACGGCCCGGCCCCGAGTCGAACGGGGGATCTCTGCTTGATCGAAGGTTAAATTTTCTTCTGCGCAGAGGCGCTCCAAGCGCTACCAGGCTTTTCTGCTCAACTCTGTACGTTCAGCTTACAGGGTTTTGCATAAGTTCGTGAAAACGCGAAATTTTTTGCGCGGGGTCACGTGTACAACCAAACCGTTCCGGAACGCATTGAGGCAAATTCGGAGAAGCTTTTATGTGCAGTATGGGACGCCTAGGCGGCTTGTAAAGGAACGAAACAGCTGCAGAATGTTGATTGATCCCACTCGGCAAATGCCGAGGTTGCGGCATCAATTCGGCATCTGGTTTTCAACGGTTTTGCGGCTGTAAAAAGACATCTGAGGGTCTTCTGAAGTAAACCCGCTCAATTCAACGCTGCGGAATGGCACCGCATGGGTTGGCCTTGTATTCCTACTCGCACGTGACCCCGCGCAAAAATTTCACGTTTTCACGAACTTATGCAAAACCCTGTATCCTCGCTCGTTCTTGGCATTTCAGGTCGCAGACGCAGAAACAGCTGGAACAACTTGAATGATGGATATCCGCCCCGCCCCGCCAGTTCCTTTACCTCTAACCTTCTAAATTTTGTTCGATGAATAAAGTCATTCGTACATGGTTCGAACTCTAGCTCGCCTCCCATTTCCGGAGAAAAAAATACAGGACTCGTAGATGGCCCGGCCCTGCTCAAGGAGGCAACGTAAATTTTAATTGCGTCCAGATGCGCTCCATGCGCTACCGAGACTACCGAGCCTTTCTACTTAACCCGGTGCGTTTCTTATCCTCATTCGTTTTTGACTGTTCTGAGTCTTATTACAGACACCGAAAGTCGACCAAAAAATCCTGGATATCAAGCCGTCCGGTTCATTTGCCTGAATGAATAAACTCATTTGTCTGCTCCTCCTTCCCAAAGAAAAAAAGTACAGTGCCTGCAGATGGCCCGGTCCCGAATCGAACGGGGTATCTCTGCTTGACGTTTCGAAAATCTGCGCAGAGGCGCTCCAAGCGCTACCAGGCCTTTCTGCTCAACCTCGTACCTTCCTTATCCTCCGAGTCGCTCCTTCCAACTTCCCGAGTTTTCCAATCTCATTCACAGACACTGACGGTCAACCGAAAACCCTGGATATCCGCGCCGCCAGTTCCTTTGCCTTCATCATCTCAAATTCTTGTCAAATTCTGTTAATGAATCAGCACCTTTCTGTGGCTCGATCTCTAGCTCGCCTCTCCTTTCCGGAGAAAAAAATACAGGCCTCGTAGATGGCCCAGCCCCGAGTCGAACGGGGAATATCTGCTCAAGGGCTTGCTCACAAACGTCAATTGTGTGCAGATGCGCTCCACGCGCTACCGAGCCTTTCTACTCAACTCGGTGCATTTCTTATTATTGGATCTTGATTATGTTCTTGATTATTATGAAGCAACAGATACGATTCGCACCAGTTGCCTGAACCTCTACTTTTTTCTAAAAAAAAACAGCTAATAATCAATGGGATTGATATTTGCTCCCGACTGCCTTCTTAGGCAAGAAAAAAAAGAAGAAGAAAAATTGCTTAGGTTCTTCAACACGACTCAGCCCCGAATCGAACGAGGGATCTCTGCTTGATCGAATGGAGAAATTTTAATCTGCGCAGAGGCGCTCCACGCGCTACCGAACCTTTCTACTCAACTCGGTGCGTTTCTTATCTTCGTTCGTTCTTTGGTTTTTCAGGCATCAGATACTAATTGCAAACCTCGAGGATATCCATCGGGATATCTATCACCTCCGGTCGCTCTGCGTCTCCTACGGCGACCCGTTGAATGCGGCTAGGATCGTCTGTGGCTCTCCCGGCTGCCCCATGATGTGAAACAAAACGGTTTGACCGGCGCGACATGGCTCAGCCCCGGGTCGAACGGATTATCTCTGCTTGAACCACGGAGAAATTTTATTCCGCGCAGAGAAGCTCCACGCGCTACCAAGCCTTCCCGCTTAACATCGCACCTCTCTTAAGATCTTCTAGTCTTGTTTTTCCCCCAGTAATTTCTCAACGACCGCTTCTGCTCGATAGACCGTCAACACGAAGGGATTTACCTGCCGTTTGAGGGATTACTGGATTCCTCGCTCAGTCCATGCTTGCTAAAGGAAAATCTCCCTGCCTAGGCGAAGTCCCAGAGCGAAACTTAAAGGGAACATGGTCTGCGTCACGTTTGATTCCTGGGTCTAGCGCTCGGATACTTGTTGAATTAAACTACCGCTGCATATGACCTAGCCCCGGACCAAACGGTTCAAACTGTGTGCAGCCTGTGCTACACGCAACGAGTTTTCTCCCCCATCTGTTGTTTGTTATGAGGACTTCCCAGACGTTTATCCATTCAGCGTGGGTCTCGTTTCTCTTGATTTGGTGTGCATTGAGGCTGGCAGTTTCATTACGCTCGATGACACTGAAAGTCAACCCATGACAAACAGAACCAAACACAATTTCAACCCGCGAGAAAGGCACAAAAACCTGTACCGCGATATGCACCTCCTTTGACTCCCTGCCCAACGTCCGGAATTCGGGATGATTGGGTGCTCGGCTGCACATGTTCCCATTACTTAAGCTTCCCCAACCATCGCGACCAAGTGATTTCTTTTGGACAAGAATGGTTTCGAGTAAAGTCGGTAATATTCTCAGGGGTAGTAATACAATGAATCTGAAAAGAGAGTCCACTGGTAATACTCGGAGAGTAGTGATAGAGTGTATCTAAGAGAGTTGTAAGAGAGTGTCGAGGTTGCCTTTCAAGGAGTCAAGTGGAAAACCATAAAAAGCCCTCTTTCAACTTGATCACTAATCCACGTATTCATCACTTCAACGCCGGCTTTGAACCTTCCACCCGCCCGCCAAGATCATCACCTTCGACGGATCCACGCGCCTCGCAACCTGCACCAATCGCGCGAGGCTTTCGGCCCCGTAGAACTCTTCCAACGGCGCGGGAGCAAGCGCGTAATTCGAGTAGCGCGGAAGCGCCACGTTCGACTGGCCTGCCTGGACTTGGTCTGAGACGGCCACTGCTTGCAGGCGCTGCACCGAGTCCTAGTTACACGACGTCAAAAGATGGAGGGGTGGAGTGGGTAGGGGCAGACGTACAGCAAGCGCGCCGCGCAAATACGCATCATCCTTAGCGTCGGACCACTCGATCGCTACTGCCATCGGCATCGGGCTCCCTGCCCGCGCGGCCGGCGGGGGGTACGCCCCGGTGCTGTTTTTGAGATAGCCCTTCTGGAATGGCTCCAAGGCGTAGTAGACTGCGACGGCGGAGGTGTTGGACGGGAGGGAGACACCGAGGGACTGCAAGGATATAAGCAGGGAAATAAACAAGGTCATGGTGGGGAACGTACATTGACTTCCTTGATTGTTGCATTGATTATAGTGGGGGTGTTTGCGGTATATGCGACCATGCCGGATGCACCACTGAATATGGAGTGCGTTTATCAGCAGTGACTTCAAAAAATACAGCAAAGATAACGCACCGGTAGTTTGTGGGCAGTCCTGCGTTGCCGAGCACCAAGTCCAAAAACGAGCGGGTCTTGACCGTGCTCTGCAACGTCGGGAGAGCAAGGAAAGCGTCAAAGATGCCCGGCGGAGGTGTCGGCCCGTCGTAGAACAAGGTTACGGACGTGAGGAGAGTCTGATACGACAAACGTTAGCACAATTCATCAGAAGAAGAGGAGATGACTGACAGAGGCATTCTTGACGATAAAGTTGCCGACCGCGGCCGCACGGGGGTCGGTCACCTTGTCGAACTGGGATAACGCTGCGCCGACGGCGAGTTGCTGACCGGGTGTCTGCACGACGCTTCCGCCCTGCAATAAATGAATAAGCACCCAAATATGAACCCAATTTATAGCGGGATCCAGACGCACCCAAACCTGGCCTTGTGGGAAGGCGCGAACCACAAAGCTCGTCACAATGCCAAAGTTGCTTCCGCCGCCCTTGAGTGCCCAGAAGAGACCCGGATCTGACTTGTCCGTGACGTTCTTAACGCTTCCGTTGGGGAGCACAAGCTCGAACGACAACACCGTGTCCGAGGCCAGACCGTACTGGTTGGAGTGGTAGCCATAGCCTAAATGAGGCGAATACATCAAGTATAATTCCCATCCGAAGAAGAAGGAGCAACGGACCACCGCCAAGGAGAAAACCTGCGACGCCGACGGAGTGATCGCGACCACCGACGACGATGACGCCGAAGGGATCCAGGACCGTGTAAACCTGGCCCCATGTGAGACCAGCGCCGATGGTCACGGCGCCGTTGGCAGTGTGTGGGTACGCTGCGCCGGGATTGAGTATGAATATCTACAGAGGCGGTGGAGCCCAAGCACTCACAGGGATCGTACGTGGTCGTGTTAAATCGAGCGAGCGAGATATGTACGCCCGTTGTCGAGCTGAAGCCAGGATTCGTAGCGTGGCCGCCGCCTTTGACCTGTTGCCGCAAAGAAATTCAACTCAGAACTCAACGCGAATGAATGACCACCTACCGCGAACGGCGTCCCGTGCAATCCGACAGTTCGCAATATTGAACCAACGCCGAGGGCGGTGTCAGCTTCGACGGCGCATGCGGCCTGTTGAGATGAGGAGAGTGCGAAATGGGACATGGCCGCCACGTAGTTCGGTGAACCTGGCGCAATTTAGATACAACGCGTCAAAATTGTAAAGAGTGGCGGCTTACCAGGATAGAAGACCTCGGAATGGGAGGAATTTGTGCGCGCAATAGCCTGGCATACAGAAGCTGCCTGGGTGGATGGTTGTATCCCTGCTGCGGTAACGACACCGAATGCCGTCGCGCCAGCCAAGATGCGCAGTGCGTTGTGCATGGGTGCGATTTGAAAGTGTTATTAAAAGTAGGAGCTGTGTGTATAATTACCAGTGAACGCGAACGGCCTATTTATTGCGATTTGGGGCGTCATGGGCGTCCGGATGTGAGGGACGAGCGTGGAAGCGCCCGGATGTCAACTGGATGACATTTGTCGATCCTCCGGTCTGTTTTAGGCAACTTGGTGATGCCATCATGCAAAGTACTCATACCTGCTTACATTGTACGAGAAATGGCTGACGACAAACGGCCAGGTCCATAATTTGAAGGCACTGGTGACCCAGTAGGCTGTACAGTTCGAAATGTGAACATCCCAGACCGCACCGAGCAATGTCATGGAAGAAGGTAAATGATCAGACAGTAAACAGAACCAAATACAAATTCAACCACATGTTCAACCAATGTTCAACTGGACTTGAAAGCGCTTAAGCAAACATTTCCATGCGTGCCTTGGCAGCAATAGATCTGCGGGCCATCCGGGTGTGTTTAATGCTATAAATACCCTGGTAAGTGTCTTGCGCGTGAGATCTCCACTGATCGTCGAACACGTTCCAATTCTTTTTCGAAAGAAAATGTTGGCCAGCCTGTCGGTCCAAAATCCGTATCGTTTACGCGGGTCATTAAAGCGATTACGCAAGCCATATATATAGACGAGTTCAAAGCCGGATGCATAGGATAGAGACAGTGCGGTTGTTTATACGTCGGGCATGAAATGCGCTCAGATTTATACGTCGGACATGCTGGTAACGTGCGGCCCGTCAACCTTGGCCTGGCGCGCCTTGCGCCGCTGATAGATGTAATCTTCCTTCGCGGCCTTCATTTGACGGTTGATCCACACGTACCTACAGGTTGAAACTTGAGGATGGGTATGAAGAGAGAAGAAGTGGAGGGACGTACGAGCCAATGGTGACGAGGAAGGTGGCTCCCAGCACAATCTTCTCGATCTTCTCACTACTAGTGTTGCCTCCAAATTTCGAGAAATGGTCAGCCGGAGGAAGAGGGGAAGAGGGAGAAAGAAACACACCAGTGTTCTTGGGTTTGAGTGCGTAGCCGACGTACACCGGGACGAACGACTTTGGGAGGGAGAGCAACGCGGCGCCGAGGAACGTCCAGAAGGATATGCCAACCGTAGAGAAGACCGCTGTCGCGACTGCAAGGATACTGTCAGCGGTTCGCGGTGCATATGTAGAGAGCGGACGAACAGTGCGGCGGAATCGCGCTGAAGCGGATGACGAGTACAACCAGGAAGCCGCCGTTGCGAATTATGTGCGCCAGGAGGCCGAAAGAAATGTCCTTGGCTTCCATTTTCTTGATGCGCGCAGTACAGGCGTATTTGAAGGTGCTTTGTGGTAGCGTTAATATTTGGGTTGAGTTAAGGGCGAGCAAAGGCTTACTAGTAATTGGCCACCTCACCGAGGATGGTGCTTTGAACAAACAAGAGTTAGGAGGGGATTTAGTCAAAAGATGGATGGGAAATATCTACCCGACTGTTAACGTTGAGTTGCAGCGAGAATAGGAGGAGGAAGG